ACGACTAGACTCCGTATTCTACTGCTCTCTCTCTCTCTCTCTCTCTCACACACACACACACACACACACACACAACTGTATTCACTTACCTAGGACGGATGAATGATGAACGTTCATGATCTGGATTCGTGCTGGCGAATTTGAAACTAAGAGTATGACGCTGCAGTAACTACTGACTGACCTACCTTCACGTCGTAACCTTCAGCGCATGTTGGATGCATGTAGATTTTCACTGAGTCAATCAATGTACTGAAGCTGCTAATTCGACGAGTTCTCAAACCATTAAATGACACCTATAGTTAGTTGGGTTTGACAATTTTCAGAGAAAAACTAAAGTACAGAATTTGAGAAATTGAATAGCTCCCTCCCCGCCAGTATTCTCATAGGTGGACAAACAGTCAAGGTCGTTGAGAAATTTCACTATATCTAAAACTCGCAGAATGAGTCAAGACGCTGCACTTAGCTGCGATGAGCCGCTGTTTCGAATTCGTCGCCTCAGATATCCTACGTCCAGCGCAACAAATATGGACCTGCCAACCCCATATGTAGTCTTCATGTGCCATGTATACAGAATTGACTTTAATCAACTTAAACAAATGAAGGTTCTTCCTCATTTTTCCATGTTCTTCCTCATAATCATAATCTTCTTTACTCGTTAATCATTCTCATTTTTCCTCTGTCTGTTCCTGTATAGGACACCCATATTCTCCACAATTTCTAATGCAATTGTTATTCTTTCAAAGGTTAGAAATAATCTACCGCTGTGGGTTAAACTGGTTGAATTAATGTAGAAGAGATGAAGCTGATGCATTCTTGAAAGCGCGCTACTCATTTTACTCAGCGTATGACACTTGCAACTATATAGGTTATATAGACAAAATGTAATCTTGATGTTCCAAGGTTGCTACCACATAGCAGCTTTCCAATTTCACACAATCATAACATTTCAATTTTTGACACCGGATTTACACAGCCCTTACTTCTGGTTGCATAGAGGAACAATTTACGCAGACCACGGTTCCAGAATACTTTAGCACCTAAATAAAACCCCATGTTACGGTGTAGCTGCCACATAGCAGCCTTCCAACTTCAAGAAGCCATGGTTTGTGGGTGCACAAAGGCAACTAGGAGCAAGGAGCAGTGCATTTACGCCTAGTAAATCCGGTATCAAAAACTGATATGTGTGTTTATATTATGCTTTCAACATACAATGTTTATTTATGTTCGCAAACCTGAAGTCACTGCCGTTCTTAAAATCGAACGAAGCGGGGATACAGGAACTGTCTCTGTCTGACGGAGCCGTCAACACTGAGTTGAGCCAAAACTCTTTTGGCAGTGGTTTGAAACCGAGCGACTGAAAAAATCCTTCCGCTTTCC